CTTCCCTGTGCCTGGTAAATAGGGTTGTACAAAGCTTTGAAATGGTTGGATCAAATCACCCCATTGAATTAAATTTGCAATTCTAAGCAGCTCTGAGGTGGCAAATCAAACCAATTGGCTTCCAGCACTTTGCAGACTTTCGACACACATCATAGAGCTGATGGCTTTTGTATTGCTTCTGGGGTTATTACGGTCAATATGCAATTGTGCGAGTTTACTTCCATATATGGAGGATGCTGGGAGGAACAGCTGAACAGTGTGAAGCAGTCTAGGGTAGAGAAAGCCAGCAGCAAATAAGATGTGTCACCTCATTAGACTCAGTGACGGGTATTTTTGCGGTGGTGAGGCTAACATTGCTTTCGGCCTCATTTGTTTTCTCAGCTCTCAAGTCCTAAGTCTGCTTTTTCTTGCCTGCAATGTCCTGATCTTGACAACACACATCAAAATTCAACTCGGCTCTCAACACTTACCATATTGTCTCAAGACTCATTGTCCAGTACACACATTTAAGTCACATCTTAGGTTTAAATTTTGAATGACTAAGTATACACATCTCAACAATGAGAGGACAGGTGCCAAGCTGGCACGTAAAGGCCTAAATGTTTACTGTTTTTAAGGCCAAAGAGTGGCAAGCCTACGAATGCCAGTTTTTGTGTGCCAGCCACTTTCTCCCTGGCTGCCCATTTCTGTGGCATTTTCTCTTACTGTGCCAGCCTGCTTTTGCTGCCTCTGCTAAGATAGAGCAATGCCAGCAAGCCACACAACCAAGTCAGACCTACAATGAGGGCTCCTTTCCAGGAGGGGCCAAGCTGGCCCCCCTGCTATGCCAACTTTCTTGGCACTTCACAAAATCCAATGGAGTGTGGTAGCAAAGCTATTCCAAGGGCAAGTCAGTGATCATACTCCAGTGTTAACCAAACCTGGCACTCCAGAAAAGTAATTGGAAATGTAAGAGTTTACTTTTTAAACAGTTGTGAAAGTCTTTTATTTAGTAGAACAGTTTCTGCATTAGCTTAGCACAACTTAGGGCTCATCCAGACTGCTAGTTTAGTGTTCTTTCTTCCCATCCTTGAGTCAGCAAAAAATTGCACTGATATCAGTTGTGTTGTCCTCATGGATGAGGTTTACTACCCTTCAGTAAGGAAACTGGGCAGTTCTGCTGTCTGTACGTTTTTTAAAGCAGAACAGCTTCAGGGCCAGGATTGGTGAACTCCTTGTAGTCCTTTCTCCTCCCACCCAGCATCGCTTACTGGTAGGAAAAAAACACCACCCATCACTCTACAGAACATATGGCAGGAAGGGTGGAATTTGGGGAATTTCAGCTACTTCTTCCAGAGCAAGCAGTCAATTCCTGCCCCCCCCCCCGCATTTTTTTTCATTTACTTTGAAATACTGTAGCTTCAAGTGCTTGTTGATCCCTCTGTTTGGATCCAAGACCATTATTTACTTTTACTTCTGAAATATTCTAACCAAGCCTCCACTGAGACAACAGTAAGCGTGACCCCCCCCCTTAAAAAAGTTAGCTTTGACTGGCATTGATTTCATTAGCAAGGATCGTTTTTGTTTCTCTGCATCATTTCCCTCCTGCTTCCCCTTTCATTTCTTTCTGAGAAAATTCATCTGACCACAGCGGATAAAACTCTGATTTCCCCCTCTTCCTCAGGCGCATCTTTCTTCACACTATGTTAGAACCCTTGCGCTTTCTTTAAGATTTAATTAGTCTACCAAATGAACATGAACATTAATTACATTGCAAGTGAGACTTGTATTAAACCAGTGTTTCTCAACCTTCGTGACTTTAAGATATGTGGACTTCAACTCCCAGGATTCCCCAACAAGCACACAGAATTCTGGGAGTTAAAGTCCACATATCTTAAAGTTGCTAAGGCTGAGAAACACAGTACTGAACCATTCAAAGGAACAAGGGCAGTTAGTATGTGAGAGAAAATATGTTCAAACTAAGGAAAGTATTACAAATAATAAGCAATCCAAGTCCAACCCAAGGAAAAAATGCTATGCCACTCACTTAAACACCCCGCCTATACCAGCTGGGGGAAAACAATCCAAGAAGATTTTTTGTTCTGTTCAAATTAAAAATAACCCCACTGCTGGGAGGATGTTCCCGAGGCATGGAAAGAAGCCCCCTTGACCTCTTTTTCACAACAATATCATTTTTGGGAATCCATTTTTCATGGGTATATCAATAGTTGTTTTGTGGTGCAGATCACTCAGGTGGCTGGAATTACTATCGGGGGGCACAGGAAAATTGCCTGTGGAAGCAGGTATGGGGTTCTTTCTCAGGCCAAGTTACAATGGCCATAGAGATGCCGTGTCCAGTGACTGAATGAGGGGTAGGGGCAGAAGATTTACCCGGCCAAGAGGAGTTGAGCCAATCACTGACTATGTCATTCCCAGACTCATCATGGAGGTATTCTAGAGTCTCCATGTGGCCAGTTATGTTTTGGGAGAAGAAAGAATATGCCACTTCCACACTGGAAGCTCCAGAGGTAACTCTAGGTCATCTGGGGATAAGATGAAGGCAACATCATGTGAACATGTCTCTTAAGAACTAGTTAGCAAGAGGTCCTCAAGCTGTAGTAAGTAAGATGAGAGGACAAGCCTTTAGTTGCTTTATGGGCAATTTGGATGATGAGTGCTGCTCACCCCTGCTATCTCTCAAAGCCATCCAAGTCAAACTGGTTTGCTCTCAGACCTTGAACTGCAAATTCAAATAGCATCATGCCCTGTTTGAACCTCAAGTCTCTGATTCAAATTGAATCAAGGCTGTTTGCACCAGCCTGCTAGTAAATGGTATGATTTATAAATGTCATAAATAAAATAAATATCGCTTTCCTATTTGAAAGTATCATGGGGTTTGCTAAAATGTAGTTCTCTGCCTTTCTGAAATTAGCTCCAATTAATGCAAATGTACAAGCACTGCTTAACTGTGTGAATATGACAAGGGGAATGTAGCCTGTTTTGCTTGTCATAGAAGTTGGCATTATCTGCTGAACCACTGACATGGTTGCACCGGCTTTGATGGTCCTTTCCATCTTTCCAGCTTAGTGATGTGCAACTATAGTGACATATAGCTGCCTTTTTGTCAAACTGAATCATGTCTTTGCCCAGCTGCTCTGCTTGCGGCATTGAAGCTGCTTGTCAGCAAAGGCTAGCTAATATGCCACAAGCCCCCTTCAGTAGAAGCAGACTTTCAAGTGATGAGAACACTACTGGGAAATGAGAGAGCAGCGTGGGAAGCAAAGGGTTGCAGCGTACTTCCTCTCTGTTCGAAACAGCTTCGTCTCATCAGTTTCAGACACATGTGGTTTCAAGATCAGTCTCAATGCCTGGCCCCAGTTCCCAGCGCAGCCCCACTATTTTTCTTTAAGGTAGTTTGCAAAATGGGGAGGAAGAAAGGACAGCTTATATTTTAACTTGGGTGCCTATTCGGGCCGCAACCTGATTTATATGTGCCTGATTTAGAATTGTACTCCTACTTGTGGAGGGGAGGAAAGAGAAGAAATGTTTGAGATATATAGAAACATGTAGGGAGGATTCATTGCTTTTGAAGGGTCAATCATAATCTTCAAAATTTCATGGCTGAAATTTGCCTCTTGCTCCTTATTTCAAGAAATCATTACTTATTGATAATCCTGTATGGACATCTTAAACAGTAACAAAGCTGGTGTAAACTCCTATGACAATAAAACATTTTTAGAACCTCTTCCATAGCAAGATCATCCAACAAATTTCCAACAGCACCCTTAGATACCACCTATTGTATTTTGCCTCCATTTTAACTTATTTCATTTGCATTTCTACCAGGAGCTCATAGAGTGCTCTGTTTCAACAATTGGTGGGGATCCTCTCAGCCCTTTTTACCCATGGAAGTTTCTGCAAATGTAGGCAGGCCTCTAGAAACGAATGGCCTCCTGAAAGTACAACCGCTCTCCACAAAGAACATATCTAGCATTAGCAGTGTTTTGTACTTTTCTTTATATTTGATGGAAGAGGCAGCATGGGGCCCATGGATACCAAGGCACCTGCAAGTATATTCCTGGGTGCCTACCAGGCTTCCTCTCTCACGACCTCATTTTATAGCAAACTATCATCATTTTATTTTCCAAAAATGCTTTTGGGCTTCACAGGAGCCCCAAAGGCCTTCTTCAAAAAAAAATAATAGTGGGTGGCTGCAGACACATGGTGTGTTTCGAAGTGTGTCCACCTGCCAAGGTAAAAGATAAATATAAACTAGGGTGGTAGGAATGTTTGATAGGGGGAATTGGTGAGGGATCACTTCATCAAGTTCTTTTTCTTGTAAATTGATGTTTTTTAATTGGCCATGCCCATCACAGCAGCCATTTTGAAGGGGGATGTCTACCAATGGCAGCCATTTTGTGCCAGCATCCATGACATGGATTCAAATTCTCTATGTATTGAGTGTCCCAATAAGTTGCCTAGCCCTGTTCTAAATTCTTATGCTTTTCCTTATTATGCCTGGTTTTTTTCTCTCTCTCTTGTGTTGCTTTCATTGAAGGAGGAAGAGAATAATGGTTTAATAGCTCATATGTTTTTCCATAGAGGAAGTGCTTGGAGACACACTGTCTGTTGTTGACTTTTTATGTCTATGTAAGTCATCAAATCCTTGGGTAGGGAAATAATCTCCTTCTTTTCAAGAGCAAAGCCATCCATGCTGCACCACGTGGGTCAGCACACCCAAATTTATTAATAAAAAGGCCTATTTACACGATGCCTTATTTCTGCTGATGCTCAACAGTCCTGATGCTAAATCAGGCATAGATCTGATATTCCAAGTCCTCTTCTGTGTAGAATTGCCAGGTGTCAACTTATTTTCTTCAATATATTGAAAATATTGATGGCCACATTTATGTTCTCTCCACATTTTCTGACAGGAAATGACACGAAATTGGAGAACGGAGATCTGTGATGTGCAGCTTGGTGGGGTCGGGGAAGCAGTTTGCCTTCTCAAGATCAAGGGCTATTATTCTTCCCATTTAAAGGACTCAGAAAGTAAGGTTGACAGAAACCAATATTTTGCTGGAATACAATCCATAAAAGTCTTGCACGGCAAACCGTGCTTAGCACTGGCAAATGCAGCCTTAAGGGAAAGACAGAATGACCCCCAAGTGAATTTGTAAAAAGGACTGTGGAAAAATGTGTTAGGATGGGAATCCTCCCAGTGAGGTGCCAGACTGGCTGGGTCACAATCCTTCTAAGACAGTGTTTTTCAAACTTGGCAACTTTAAGATGTGTGGACTTCTTAAAGTTGCCAAGTTTGAAAGATCCTGCTTTAAGACATAATGTGGTTTGATTGCTTTAGCTTTGCATCATGTGTGAATGTAGCCACCATGGACTGTAAACCATTTTATCAATTTTCATGGCTCAGTAGCCCAAGGTAAGAGTGTAACTTTCAAAGCTGTTGGACTACAACTCCCATAATCTTTTGCCACTGGCTACACTTGTTAGGGCCCATAGGAACTGAAGTCCCCAAATTTGGGAATCACTACTATAGGTTGCCTTCCTTTAGCAGAGGAGAGGACTAAAGCATCTCTTTTTTGAATTGGAGAGTGTCCCATTCTCACCTTGATCCCATGGCCAATGTCATCCAAACTGCTGAAGTCCAGTGGTTTCCTGTAATAGGGCTGCAAAGGCTCCAGGTTCTTTGGGTAGATGATTTTCTGACAGAGAGGAAAGGTCTTGCAAATGGTCAGCGTCCCAATTTCACGGCGGGATACTTTCTCCTTATGCATTTCTACCACCTGCAGCAGAAAGACATCATGAGAAAGGAGAGCCTTGTCTGGCAAGACACAATGGGAAGCTGGGGCAGGAACCATCAGCAGCTGATTTCCCAAGAGGGTTAATATGAAGCACAAATCAACAGAGCTGGCTCGGCTGTAAAGGGTAGAACATCATTAGATCAGCTGGATTCACTGTTAGATTGGCTCTTCCTCTTTCAGGACTTCTTCCTCTCACAAATAGTGAACTCATTTGGCAAGGTTGAATGCAGAAATATGCAATATGGACTGACTGGGGAGAACCCCAAGGTCTGCAAAAATTCTACAACAAAATAAAATTCAGCTTCCCCCAACACCTCCTCACCCCCCAGATTCCAAATGATATCTGTGCACTTCAACACAGCCCATAACGCTCCACAGATGCCCCATGTTGGCTGATCACAACTTTAGAGTAAACGGTAAACATCAACATGTCAGCTATTCCATCTTTTCATTCTTCAATAATATTTTTTTGGAAAAAAAGGTCAGAGCCAGTGGTAGAAAGGTTTACAACCGGAGGCTGAGTTATAACCTATTTGGCTTGCTGTGAAATCCATGAGCAAGGCAAAATCACTTCAAGAGCAGCAGCCAGAGAATGGGTACTTTGCTTGATTCCCTCCCATTCCTTTTTCCTTTCCTGCTGCCAGGTCAGCCTCCCCATCCTGCTGTCTTCCGGTTGTATTAAGGTTCTCAGAACACCCGTCTGACTGGGAATTCTGGGGATTGCAGTCCCGTCACTTTCTTGAAAGTCTCCCATTTGGGAAGGCATGCTGGAGGATCCAGTGTTTTGTTTAAATTTCAGAGGAGCACATAGAAAAATGCTAATAATATTACAAATTATAAGCAATATTAAGAGCCAGTTTTATGTAATAAAACCAGGAGACCATGAGTTCTAGTCCTGCCTTAGGCACAAAGCCAGGTGGGTGACCTTGGGCCAGTCACTCTAGGAAGCAGGCAATGGCAAACCACTTCTGAAATCTTGCCAAGAAAACTGCAGAGGCTAGTTCAGGCAGTTGCCAGGAGTCAGCACTGACTTGAAGACACAAAAAGAAAAAGAAAAAAAACCAATATTAGGCAGGGGATCTGGCCAAAAAACCATGTTCTGATGCCACTGAAGAGCAGTGCTTAATAAATTACCAACTGGATATACAACCTTTACCAGAGTGAAAAGCTGTACTTAGAGATCTCACCAAAATAATTGGAATTACTGCACTGGATAATGATGGGCTTTGTGGACTCAGAGGATGTGGGCATGTTAGAAATGACTCAGAAGGAGTCTATTAATGGAGACAGGTCCATTAATAAATGATAGGGGGGTGGATGCTCGACCATTTTCAGGGCAAAAGCTGCACTTGGGCTTTTGGGAGGCAGGGCAAACAAATGCAGCACGCAGAGCCAGCACAAAGACTGTGACTGGTTTAATTTACATTAACATTAATAAAACGTAGTTCATGTGATTACTTGCCCTGAATTTAATTATCCCCCCCCCTTCATATTACATATTTCAGTTCAATAAAAACATTTTGAGGGTTGCTGAGATCTCCACTCAATACTTAGGGGAGGCAGAGGTTGGCCATCTCAGTGCTAGCCAACCCTGATGGATCCTCTAGTCCTGCTGCTTATAAAGATGCTATACAAAAAGGAATATTGGCCTGTTTCTGATCCAGCAAAACATTCCTTAAGTTTCTAAGCAAGGATGTATATTCATGATCATGTTGAGATCATGAATGTGAGTTATTGCTGTGAAAAATTTAAATGAGAGAATTCTAGTAATAACAAAACAGGATTATAGCACCTAAGACTGATGTCTGGCCATTATATCATGATTTGAGGCTAAATGGTAATGAGACTGCAAGGAACCAAGGAAATTGGGAAGCAGTTATTGTTCAGTGAGAACATCCTAGGTGCTGTTCTAAGTATCTCCAGGTAAGGCAGAGAGAATTGGAGCCCTCTAGACAGTGACTCAAGTATATCCACACATTACAACAACCATTATGCCATTTGCTTGATTAAGTATGTTGTGTGAACCTCATCATTATTGTTTGTAACTAATGGCTTACGGCTTGATGTGTTATGCAAAAAGTGGTTTAAAAGCATGGTTCAGTGCAATATGTGAATCCAGCTATTGTAGCTAGCCAATGCAAACAATACTGTGAAAGATGGACCAGGTCTCATTTGGTAGTAAGAAACCTCTCTTCAGCTGTTTAAATTGATTTGAACCAGAGATGACTGGTTCATAGTTCCTTTCCTCCTACCAGCTTCCCCTCTCACTGATAAAAAAAATCCTAGATTTGTTCTATTGATCCACACCATATTATTTGGCCAGCACTAATGATAGTGTTGGGCATGGTTCTGCTTGAAATACCATCTGAATTAGAAAGTGAAGTTTCAGGCTGGAAAGGAAGGATGAGATTCCAGGCTAGGCTGAACCTCAGCCTTGATTTTTCAATATTTCACTTTTTTCTTATCTGCTGAATTGAAAGAAAACATTTTTTGCTGCCAAGACCACCACTCAGGTGCACAATCCTCCGATTATGAGGACCATATCTGAGAGAAACAATATAAGATTAGAAGAGTCAAAAGCCAGTGTCCTAATGCTACATGGGCAGGAATTTATTCTACTAACTTCTTTTTTCTTTTTGTCCATGAGAGACCTGCAGACGCAGAAGAAAATCATACCTGATTTATGCACAATTTTTGCAGAGCAAATTTTGGGATCCAGCATGAACAAGATCAAACTCCACAGTTTGGTCCTTGAAGCTATTCTCCCCCAACACATGCACACACACAGACACACACACAAATATGCCCACACCTCCCTTGGTTATATAAAAGTATAAGTGTTTTGGAAATATAAAGCAAGTAAAATAGTACAGATGATTAATCCGTTCCACTTATGCTTCCTGATCACATGTGTCTGGTTTTATTTTGTTTTTGTTCTTACTCTTAGGAAACAGGAAAACCATCAGGCAAGTCTCCAGTCTTTCTCCAGTAACAGGAAGAGGGATCTGATATCTGCTGGGAACAGGCATACATCTCCACATACTTTCAGTAAGAAGAGAAGGGAGAAGGAGAGAAAGGAATCCTTTGGTTCAAGAAAGTTTAGAATCCAAGGATGTGTCTGCTCTGTGGGCCTACCAGTGACTCAGAGAGCAAGGAAATTCCCTGAAAAAGGTTGCCGATGCAGCTTCTGCACTCCATATATTCCCCAACTTCCCACCTCTCCAGATGTAATAGCCATACCTCTTACGATCCCCCAGTCATCAAGGCTGAGGATGATGGGGTTGTAGTCTAACACATTTGGAGGGGCACTATATAAGGGAAGATTTTATTTAATTTAATCAATTTATTTGATTACTTTATTGGCCTCCTTAGGCCAAAGCAGGTTTAGGCACATAGCATAAACAATATAATAGAAAATAGATGAAAAATAAATCCAACAGAAAACGATCCAACAATAGAAAACAGACCACTTATGCTGGGCAAATAACCATAACATTATATGGCATGCAAACAAATATCACAAGAGGGATCACAAAATAACCTGCCCAGGGCCTGTTGAAAACATGTTAATCTTACAGTTGCTTCTCTGTCATCTGCATTACATATGACTTGATGCACTACATGTGACTTGAGGATATATGTTAAACATTCATGCTTAACATGTATACAACATCCATGTGTAATATGTAAGGATTCAACCTGTTTTCTTGCTAGGATAACTTTTGCTTGCTATCTTGGCAAGCTTGTTAGGCAGGTATGTGGATGGGAAAGATGAGAATGCTGAAGATACCAGACTGAAGATACCAGACTGAACTTGGAAGATACCAGACTGGGGAAGTTGGGTTTGTCTAGCAGCTTGTCAAGGCCTCCAGCTGCAGTGTTCCCCAACAATGCCACCAAAGATACTTACAAAAAAAGAGATGGAGGTTTACCTTGGATGCTGCAAGCTGTCTTACTAAGCTAACAGTACAGGAAGAGGTTGCAAGAGGAATCAACAGATGCATACAAGACTTGTCATGCCAATCATAGAGGCTACCAACAGGGAAAAGATTCCAGGAGTTCAAAAGGAAGACCTAATCCCAAATTGAACTTCCACATGGTGTCTTCATGGTGTCTGCTGAAGCATGTTTCTTGCTCACCTGTGCAATGGAAGAAACTTTGGCTTCCACTTGTTGGAGATGAGTGGTCTGCAAGTCAAATATTTTGAGGAAGTTGCTGGCTAGGTTATTGATTTGATAGGTCACACTGGCTAATGACTGAACTGTGAAAGTCATGGTTTCCTTGAGGGCTTTTCGTTTGTCTTGAGCCTAAAAGACAAGAAAAGGATGAGAAAGACAATTACGCAAGAAATCAGAACAACAGAAGCATATAAAGTTGAATTCCTGCTGATTACTCCTCAAGTGTGGCAGGTAACTCAGGAAGGGGGGCAGAACTTTAGCTGGATGGTCCAGGACATGTGTTATGTTAGGACATGAAAAACTAGTGAAGCTTTGTCTCCTGCCTAACCCAACCCAATGTTCTTAGATGGGCTGGAATAGGGTTCCCATAACCCCAGGCTGCAGGCCTATTGGTTATGTTGGATAGAAATGATGAGAGAGTTGTAGTCCATTTGGAAGTCATAAGGTTGGGGGAGGCTATAAACCCTAATCATCATTAGGAAGTGTTCTCACTGGTACAATACCATTCATTATTTAATGACTCCCAGTATTCAACCCACATGTATTCTCCTGTCTGTTAAACATATTAAATAGTCCTACTGCCTAGAGAAGAAAACAGTAAGTTTTTGTCCTATTCTGTGTGACAGCACTCATGAATCTGAACAGAGTTATTATTTCTCCTCCAACCAATACTTCAGAGTAGCTGGCTCACACAAACACTGAATTGAGAATTTTAAATTCTAACCTGACTTCATAAAATACAATTCTTATGTTCATATAACATGCTGTATATGTTTTCTACATTATTTGTATAAGTACAATTAAGGCTTCTTAGGGATTTGCATGATGACTTGGTTCCATAACATGTCCAACCTCCACAGAGGGGTCAAGGGTAGGGGGAATGATGAACGATGCTGATGCTGCAATGCAAATGCCTTCCCTTTCATACTTGTGTGTGACATTGCAGTGACATATGAAGGCGTGTGTCATGACATCACAACATACATTGCAATGTTTTGGCATCGTTGTGACTAGCTGTAGATGCCTATGGGATAGAGTATGGTCTTATTGCACTATATATTTAGTTACAACGTGGCCAGCGCTTGTCTTTCTTAGTATAATCATCTCTCCATCAGTTTGCAGACCTCCGGGCTTCCCATGTTTCAATTAATTCTGAAGAGAAGACATCAGGAGACAACTGCTCCCATCAATGTTACTATTGCTGCTAAGAGGAAGAGTTCAGTTCTTGAGAAATGCTTGGAGAATTTCTCTTTCCCTCCTGCTCTCACATGTAGTTTCTGTGGCTACAAACAGGTAGAGAATTTCAAAAGACCACTTATGCTCAACTCTATTTTATAGAGACCACAGAAGGTCTCCTTCTATCAGGCCAGGCCTTTGAGCTGCCTGGTTCAATATTACCTACAACACCCTTCCCCAACTTGGTATCCATTAGCTTGGGGCAGACATCCAGGAGGCATAATTTTTTAACTGAGAGAGATATGGCAATGATACAGTGATACTACCAGAAGGGGCAATACCCACATCTTTATCTAATTTTGGGGTGGAGGTAGGTCAAAGCAAAATAGATACATAAACACACACGTTTTAGTCTTTATCTTTTATTTTTAAAAAATCAAAATGTAGCATTGCTGAAATTCGTGATTTGCCACCAAATTTTGGCAGTGCAACGTTGGGTTGCAATTTTGGAGACTATATCAGTTGCAGAAAGAAGGCTGTAGACCTACAATTTTCCCACCCTTACTTTAGATGTTTCAGTTCCTCTCTCACCTCCTCCAGGCTCCCCAGTTTATATTAGCAATAGAGAGCAATGGGAGCCTCAACTCTGCATTGGCCAGTTCCCACATAGACCCAGGATGTGCTTCAGCATCTTTTGCAGTACAGATGCTACCTTACCCCTTTTCCACTGGAAGCTGCCCATGTGTTCAGCAGCCTGAGAGCCTAGCCCAGATGTTGCCCTGCCAAGCCGGGATACTCCACAGTTTCTCTCTGTGCTAGTTCAGGCAAGGCTGTCCTTATCTCTCTCCTCCTGCAACTCACCTGCTCATAGTTGCTGTCACAATAATCTGCCACTTTGAGGAGGTTGCTATAGTTCTCTTGTAGAGCACCTCTTGCAGAGGGTATGGAGTCCTGCATCAGCTGCTGCAACTCAGACATGACTCCACTTAGCTGTGCTCGATTCACCACTTCCTTCTTATAGCAGACACTGTCTCAGCAGAGAGGTTTCAAACAGGCTGGCTGGAAACTATTTTATACTTGATTTGGCTCCAGTGACAAAGCTGATCCCTCCCCTTTTGCTCACCAAGAGAATATCCTGCTGATGCCTGGAGATTTATTGCAAAATATGCCCAAGAAACGTGCCACCTTACCCATCTCTGGAGTGCAAATACCTCCATTCTATTCAGAGGTTTTGAAAATGTATTCCCTTAGTGAGAAGAAAAGTGATGAGAATGAACCGAGGAAATGTTTAGGGGAGGAGGCAGAATTGTTAAGAGAGGAAACCAGTATTTTTAGAACCATGCTTGTTTAATGATTGCACCATTGTAGGGGGAAAAGATCAGCATTACAATTTACAAGCCAAGTGGATGCCTAGCCTTGCTTCATTGGGGAAACTAGATGCTTTTGCTACCATGGCCCCGGAAACTTCACCTCTGTCCATATAATTTACAATATATCTTTCAAATTATCAATAACATCTTGGGAATAATACTGAACTCAAGGTGAAGCAAACTCAGAAAGTCCATTGTTAGCTTATTAGTATTTGGAAAGGAGCTGGCAGTTCATAGCAAGTCTTCCGTCCTTGGTTCTGTTCCCCTTGCTCTGGGTCTAGAACAGCGCTATTCACACTCTCTTGGACATTCTCCAGTTTCCCCATGCCTTTAAACACCGCAAGTTCTTTCAGTGCCTCCATCTAAGAGTAAGGCCCCAATATAAAAAAATGATTTGGGTCTTTAGAGCCATCCATTTTACCTTTTCTTTCTTATTTCCTCTCTCTTATTTCTACCCTCCTTGGGTGATTTATGCCACTTCAAAGGCATTTGGGGCTGTGTCATCTACCCCCTTAATCTCTTCAGGTCTAAAGGCTTTCTGAGTCATGTTCGCCAAAAAAGTGGAATGAGTATCCTAACAACAACAATTTTTAATATATTTAAGAAAGGTTTAAAAATATGTCAGTCCAGGTATAGTGGAAGAAGCAGACTGCGGCTGAGTGATGATGTAAATTCTGATCCTTAGCAAGGATGTTAACATGTGTACTTTTACATTTTATTATTTTATGGATTTTTATGTAATTGAACTGGTTTATTGGCAATTTTAGTAGGGTATGGGACTGCATTTTTAATTGGCCTTCGTGTTCTGGTCCTGTAAATTAATTGATTTTTAATATATTGTTATCCTTTGTGGTTCTATTGTATAAAGATTTGTATGTTGTCTTTGACATTCTGCTGTTTTAATTGTCTGTTTAATTGGTTGTTATGCACTTTGTTAAAAGGCAAGCTATAAATAAGCATTGCTATTGTAATTATTGCTTTTCCTGTTGCTGAATGAAAGGCATCATTCTGAGGCTTTTCTTTTTTAAATTTTTTAATTGCTTTTTAATTAGTAACAAAAAAGAAAAAGGAAAAAAAAGCAGAACGCAATGATAATAATGAAGTTGGAGATATATACATCATCAAAGCAAAAAACATAAAAAGTGCTTTACAAAAAAGTGAAAAAAGTACGACAAAGAAAAAAGCATAATATATGTCATTGTCATTATAACAGTAAACAGTTACAATTCTATAGATACTTATCTAATGCAAATATTTTCCAAGTATGTATATATTTCTAATACACTTATGTGACTATCATGGGTTTTTTTTAGCGTATTGTATTTTGTATAAATGAGTCCCATATTTCATTATACTTATCCATACAAAGTCTACATCTACAGGCAATCTGCTTGTAAGTAGCAAGTGCAATCAGGTCTTCAATCCATTGAGTAAATGGGGCCATACATTTATCTTTCCAATGCTGCACTATCAGTCTTTGAGCCATAGTAAGGGCATGGAATAGTAAGGCTTCAGCAATATATGATCCGAGAACTACCGGATGTACAAGCTGGGTTTCGAAGAGGCA